CAATAAGTATCCTCTGGCCTCCCTGGGGCTGCAGCACTCCAGCGCGGGCCCCGGGAAGGCAGCGACGGGCCTCCTGGGGCCTCTCTGGGGCTGCAGCACTTCGGCACGGGCCCCAGGGAGGCGGCAACGGGCCTCCCTGGGCCTGCAACGCTCCGGCGGAGAGCTGGGAGCGGGGCTTGCTGCCACCACCATTTGTGCCAGCTCCTGGGCTCCCGAACTGGAGCTCCAGCACACTCCGGCCCCAAAGGACCCCTGCCTCTAGGAATCCCACAGACAGAAAAAATGCAACACCATCATTCTGCCTGTGCTCCCCAGCAACTGCTTTAAGGAAGCATACTACCTCACATCTAATGATAAGCTGATTAAGGAAATGTATGTATTCTTAATGCAAATGAAAATGGAAGATGGTTAAAGACTGTGTGGTGAAATGGATGCAAAATCTGGGTTATAACATTGATCTTACACAGTGGAGTAAACTACGCAAAGTGAATGTGAAAATAACTAAATCGGTAACATTTAAGAGAATCTGTATAAGTTGTTTCACAGATGGTATTTAACACCAGACAGACTAGCTAAGATGTATAAAAATATGTCAAATAATTGTTGGAAGTGTAAAAAACATGTGAGAATGTTTTATCATATGTGGTGGACATGTGATATAGTGCGCACGTTTTGAGTTATGGTACATACTCTTATATAGACAGTTTTGCAGATTTCAGTACCTTTTTGACCAGAATTGTTCTTATTGAATTGTATACCAGAGAATTTTGACAAAAATTAAAGATATTTTATAATCTATGTAGTAACTGCAGCTGGAATTTTATTTGCAACTTACTGGAGAGCCAGTTTGGTGTAGTGGTTAACTGTGCGGACTCTAATCTGGGAGAACCGGGTTTGATTCCCCATTCCTCCACTTGCACCTGCTGATGTGACCTTGGGTCAGTCACAAGCTCTGGCACAGCTGTCCTTGAAAAAGAGCAGTTTGTGTCAGAGTTCTCTCAGCCCCACCCACCTCACAGGGTGTCTGTTGTGAGGAGGGGAAGGGAAAGGTGTTTGTAAGCCACTCTGAGACTCCAAGTGAAGGGCGGGGTATAAAGCCAATCTCTTCTTCTTCTTCTTCCATCAACACCTTCTGAACATGATCTAATAGCGAAGATTATGGAAAGTGCAGAAATGGTTATATTGACCTCCATGTTAAAAGGGCAAATGGAAGAAGACTTTGTTGGACTATGGACTCCATTTTATACTTGGATAAGAGAGAAATACAAAGATATGAACTTTTTAATATTATAATATTAAGGAGACTTTATGAACTTCTAAACATCACAGTTTATCTGTGTATAACATGAAATGACAAGTAGAGGAAAGTTATATGCAGAAAATCATTAATTTTGCTCTTTCCCTGGCCCCTTCCCCTTTCTTCTTCCTCATCCTTGTGTATTTTAAAAACTTAATAAAAATGTATTCATAAAAAAGGAAGCATACTACCTCTGGTACTGGAGGGAGCAGATACCCATCGTGAGAAGGAGAGTTGGTTTTCTACCCTACCCGAAGGAGTCTCAGGGTGCGTTCAGACGGGGCATTTATGCTGGTATAGATGCCGGTTGGACTCTGTGTACTTACAGGCGATCACAAGGTCCCTAACCGTTGCAAACAGCCTTTAACCGTTGTATTCTGCTACTAGGTCCCCAAGTGGTGGTATCCTGAGTGCACCGGTTCCAACCGCATTATCCCCGTCTGATCGCTCTCTGCCAGTGTACAGCCACTTCCGTTCGGAAGCCCAAGGCTTCTGCTTTTCGGCCACCATTTTTTTTAAGCCTCCTCGATGTGCGCTTGGGCGAAGCTTCACCCTGGCATTTGTAAAACAAACCGAAAAAAGGGTCTAGTGTAAGGCTTTAGATGAGTCCGGGACCTCACAAAGGCCAGTTTCAGTGTAAAAATTTAAAGGGACATCTTCGCTTCAGGGCGCGCTTTTTGGGACGGGGTGTTCTGCACCTGCACGAAGATCTCAACTCTGTGGATGGCTGCCTATGCGCATGTGCAAAAATGTAAAAAAAAATTAATAACCGCCGACGCGTGCTGCTGCGCGTTGGTAGTGTGAAGGGCATATCACGATGTGCTGCGCAGTCAGGAGGTGAGTGTGATCGCGTTTCTTCCGGATCAAATTGCACCGGTTGGAACCGCAGCAGTTTATACCGGTATAAATGCCCCGTCTGAATGCACCCTCAGAGTGGCTTACAATCTGCTTCCCTTCCCCTCCCCACAACAGACACCCTGTGAGGTAGGTGGGGCTGAGAGAGCTCTGAGAGAACTGGTCTTGAGAGAACTGGTCTTGAGAGAACTGCTCTGAGAGAACTGTGAGTGACCCAAGGTCACCCAGCTGGCTTCATGTGGATGAGTGGGGAATCA